CAATAAAGGGGAAGGCACATGTTTGGACTTTTAATCATTCTATCTAAAAATCACATCCATTGATTTGCCTTTCCATCCTAACGTTAAGAAAATGTGGAAGATTTGCTCTATTTCCTGCAAAACCCGACCAATATGTGTTTGAGCCCAATAAGGATTCTTACTCAGACTAAATGGGTAGTAGGATGATTGGGCTTCTTAGATGAGAGTTAAATCAGGTCAGATTGAGCAACGTGTTTGGAGCCATATGGTTCCCTTTTAGGAAATTAGCGTGAGGCCATCATATAACCCATAAACACCCCTGAGGCTCACGTGTAAAATGTTTGCTGGGAAGCCTGAGAAAAAAGGGAAAAAAACGGTCTGCCATCAGGGGTATTAAAGAAATTAAGTCTGGAAATACATTTTCCTTTTAAATACCAATAAATGTAATGTTTACATTAGGCCTTAGAGCCCTGTATGAATGTTAGTGAGGCTTCAGAAGAAAATATGGCAAAAGTCAACGCAGAGGATTCAGCTTAAGCTAGCCGACCATTTTCACTCAGGAGTTTCTGAAAACAAACAAAAAAAGAACGCTTCTCGATTAAATTAAGTTTATAATGTTCATTAAAAGCAAATAGATCCATTACAGCATGTTATGTTATTTTATTAGCCAGTAGTGCAGATTAACTGTGATGTAGAGTACAGCTCCATTTTTCCTAAGATAACACGTCAGACAGCTTAACAACACAAACACCAACAGGCCGGTCAGTCATGTTTGCAAAGAAAATGGGGAAAAAAAGTGACAAATACATGAGCGTTTTCCACTGAGCTTCCTACAGCTTTAAAATAAGCATGGAAATGGTGCAGATAACCTCAGATCATGTATAAAATGGAGACGATCTTAGATTAATACCCTTTAAAAGGCATTTCAAAGAGTTTCTAAGATGAGTAAAACTGTAAGAAGTGATTAAAATAGGCAGGTATGTTAGAACAGTGCAGAGCATAAAGTCTTTGTTGCGTTTTCTGTTTCATATAATTAAAGCATGCAAGCAAATACAAAACAATATTCTGCAGAGAAGGGATGAATAAAGAAAAGATTTTGACGTAGATCCTTCTAATCTCTTGATTCTGATTCTACCCACTGATTTGCTTCCCCCCGTCTCAACAGTTTGCACCCAGTCTGTCCAACAGTGAATCATAACTGCACAGAGACAGAGGGGATAAAGAAAAACACAACATCGACAGATCTTAACCTCCCACACAGAAAGCTGCTTCCTACTAATAGAGCGGATAGTGTTTAGACAGAGGAGGAGGCTGATGTAGTGAAATATAACCCGTCACTGCAGAGCAGCTATCATTTAAAAAGAGGGGAAACTGACTGATGCAGCAGACGGCGGCCAACAATAGTTTCCTATAAATTCATGATGAACTGCGCTGCGGATGAAGGTTATTGTTCAACTGCTGAAGTCGGGTGAGCTGAAGGCGGAAGCTGAACCACAGATCATGATATCCAGAGGGGTTTTGTTTGCGCTCAGGCAGCGAGCGGCCCCAGCCTCAGCTCCACATGGTGGCTGAGCCAAATGGGCTCAGGGGGGGCGTCGCCTCCCTCCTCGCTGGCCCGGATGGGAGCCGCCAGGTTACGGAAGTCGTGGCGCATCCTGAACGTAACGGTGACGTCTGCGTCTTCTTCTTTCTGAGGGATCACTTTGATGAAGAAGCCGATCTTGTTGGACTTCCTGAAGGCAACGATGCTGCAGAAAGGACAGAGGTGATGAGAAGAGTCCTCTAGCTCTGATGCTACGTTCACACCTAAAGCAGCAGGAGCAGCTAGTTTACATGCGAAGTCAATAGTTGACGCGCATCAAGGCGCAGCAAAATGTCCCGCAGCGCGTTTTGAGCAGCAGCAGCAGCGCGTCATGAGCTTCTGAGCATCTGAGACGCGGAACGCGCTGCAAACGCAGCAGCTGCTGAAGTTGGAATAATTGAATCTTTGTTGCTCCAGGTTCGCACCTCATCAACCAATCAGAGAAGCTGATCTGGGAGCTGGCAGGTAGACAGACACATCGCTGATGATACAGATCACTATGATCACTCCTCTGAAACGGTTTATTAACGTCTAAATTAGGGGTGGAACGGTTCACAAAATCCACGGTTCGGTTCACCGTTTCGTGGTCACGGTTTTCGGTTCGGTATATGTTGATTGTTAGCCTGACATGTTGGTCGTGTTGCTGTTAGCATAAACAAAACGTGTTGCACAATGCTTGCACACTGTTGCACCTTTATCCACAACTGTCTTTCCGCCGTCATCGTAGGTCACTCTAAATGCAAAGTGGTCCCATACAGCAGACCTATAAAGTGCTGCTGGCGCGTCTTCCAACTC